AATGGTATGTCCAAGACCATTAGACCTCTGTAAAACTCATTAACATGAACTGGTGATATTTTTATCCCTCATCCTCTGAAGTACATACATAAGTTTTACTAAGGACTGAAGTCTACCTACAAATTCTCATTAGATCCAATTAAAATGGTGTTATCAATATAATGTGTCAAAATAAAGTTCTTGCAAAATGTACACGATCCACATCTCTTCAGGTTTTGTTACAACACAGTAGGAATCCTAACTCATTCAAGAGCAAAGCCATAAATTAATTTTGCAATTCAAATTATGTGAGTATGAACTGCATCTGGTCACTGTTTATGGTAAGGATAGGAATAAATTCATGTGCTACATCAGTGGCCATGTACAGTGTACCTAAAGCCACATTAATCTGTTCTAGCAAAGATACCACACTGTCTTAGTCACTTTTCTTGCTGCTGGGACACAATATCTGACATCTACAACTTAAAGGAGGAGAGGTTTACTTTAGCTCATGGTTAAGGTTCATGGTCAGCTGGCTCCAAGGAAGAAACAGTATGGCAGAGGAGCATAGTAATGGAGAAAATGCTGCTCATGTCATGGTAGCCAGGAAGCAGAGAAGAAAGGAGGAGACAGGGATGAAGATATACCTTTGCAGGTCATGCTGCCCCCCATTTCTGAACCAAAATCCACCTCATAACAGCACACTCACCTGCTGAACTCACCAGTAGATGAATACTCCCATGAATACAGTGTCTCCATAGTCCAAGAATCCTTACAAAGCCCGTAACCGAGTGCCTGAGAGCTTAGGGAAGACATTCCAGATCTAAACCACAACACAAAGTTTCATTAAGTCACCAAGTCTCCCAGACTTGGCATGAACTTGCAGTCCTCCTGCCTCAGCCTCCCAGAGTGGTGAGATTACAAGTGTGCACCATCATACCTAGCTTATTTTATGCATCTTATTTGTATATCTCAATTTATCTGTTTGCTTTTCTTTAATTTTAGTGTTGCTGAACAATTTGGATATTTGCCATTGTTTCTCATCATTGAATCATTTGTTGATAAAACTGAACATTTCTGTTCTTCCTAGTCGAATTCATTTTTACATCAATCATATAAGTCATATACCATGAAAGTATAATAATTTTTTCTGTTTTCTAATGTTTTTAAATGTATTATGTGTCATAATAATGAGTTTTTAAATTTTCTCATATTATTCAAAATGAGGCAGGCATATTACATTTTACTGTCAATATAATGCAAGGACCAATAACATGCTTTTAGTGTTTTAGTGACTTCTCATATATGCAAAAATATGTTCCTTTACTTATTTTTGTTACCTTTAACCTCCTCCTTATACCTAACTCCCACCCTCATCCCCTTCCTTACCTCATTGTATAGCATGTGAGGGGTTGGCAATTAAAATTCTCTTCCCTCTGGCCCAATGGTATAAACAGACCATTTAAATTGCTAAGTTAAAATGGAAAAGTTAATTTCTCTCATAAGACTGCGTTTTGCATTCTTTAAAAGGTATTAATGAGCTCAGTATTAATCACCATTGTGTAGTGATTGAGAAATTATCAGAAATGTCTGGCCCATAGCAAGCTTTCATAATTTTTACTCTCTACCACATTCCACTTTCTCTTTCTGTGAAAGAAATTACAGTACTTTGGCATGCATTTAATAGCATTACTGTCACAGAGCAATGATAAGTATAAGAGAAAGAAAGGAAAGTGTGGGCTTATTGTCATAGTGTATGACTAAAATCTGGTGACATTTTCATGTTATAGTGTAACTTAACACAATGGATTTGCTTTTTGGAGAATGCAAAGCCAGTAAGTGCAACCAGAAGATAAATAAGTAAAGAGAATTTTTTTTTACAGGAAATCAGAACACTGAAGATCATTCTTTAAGCACTGTGTCCCCAAGCTTTTACTGAAGCAACTCATATGAATTCCTGCATGACTGATTTGCCACCACATAGAGGCATTTTCTTTTTGTTTGTTTGTTTTTTGGTACAGGGGATTGAACTGGGAAACTTGTGATTTCCAGGCAGACTGCAGAACCACTGAGCTAAATCTCCGGCTAGGCAGACACATTCTTGAGCATGCTCAGTTTGATGTAATTCTTTTTCATAGATCCTATGTTCAGAAAATGGTGGGCTTGCCCATCCTGGGTGGAGAACTTAGTATTATAATAAGTAAAGTTCACTTCCAGGTCAACTAAAAGGGTGGGACAAGTTTAGTTGGTTCAAGGTGCATGATTAGGTGACCTTGCAATTTTGTATGGCAGGCTTTGTCAGAAACAAGAAGCAACTTTAGAGGCGGACTTAGTTATTTTAAAAAACCAGTTTTTTGTTTTGTTTTGTTTTTTTCCTGTAAGCTTAGGTGATTGTCTGCCCTGAAAATACTGGCCTAGATCCTAGCAACAGCTAACAAAATACTGGCCTAGAAGCTAGCAATAGCTGAGGATTGGGAAGAAGATTAACTACTTTCTTTTATTTCATGTATTATATTCTCATTTTTACTATTTGAAAAGCAGACACAGAATTTTACATGGATCCTAAGAAAGATGAAGTAATTCCAGAATTTAATAAATATCTGTTGAATGCTTTAATTGATGCTACACACAGGTCAGGGAACAGCACAGAATCACTGTTATTCTAATCTCACAGATTCTCAAAAGCCTGTCATGAAAGAATACTAAGCCCACTCCCTAAATTTAATGTTTTATCTCACCTGAATTCCACATAAAATGGCTTTTATGTCTATTCTATATAAAAAAATCATGTTGACCGCCTGCTGTGCAAGCACAAGGACCCGAGTTCGATCACTGGTACCCCCCCAAAAAAAAATCATGTTGATACATGTCACTGATGAGGCCTAAACCATACACACAATACTGCCGGCCTAGACTTCTGGGAAATGTAATGTATAGGATTCCAGCTTCTACACACAGGAAAGCATAAAAGGGATGAAAAGACTTCCCAGTGCCAGCTGAAAATATGTAGGAAAGTTCCCAGAATTTTACTCATCAGACCTTTCCAATTCCTTTGAGTACCCAATTCCTACATTAATCTTTTCTATTTAAAATTCCTAGTGAACTTCTTTTTTGCTGACTAAATGTTGAGTGACATTCTCAAATATTCAGATTTAATATGAACTGTGATTCATATTTTGAGAATGAGTGTTTCTGTGGCACTTCCCCTTTCATATAGGAAGGTACAGAATCGCATCCCGTTTTTATACTTACGTTATCCCACTATTTCAGCATAATATTTCTTATATTTATTTGATTAAAACTTATAATAACTTATGAAAAGACAAGATGGAAGATTAGAGAAACTACCCATGGACTCAGGTAATCTTGGGTAAATTAATAAACCAGAAAAACTACATAAAGACAGGGGTTTTTTGGGGTTTTTTTTGCAGTACCAGGGATTGAACTCAGGATCTTGTGCTTGCAAGGCAGGCACAGTGCCCCTGAGCTAAATCCCCAGCCAATTTAAAGATAATTTCTTATGAGCCCAGCACTCCAACTTTCTGAATTTGTTACTTAGTTTCAACCAGTTAGAAATGCATAGCCACTACTGTCAGTCTTCAAAGTTTTCCAGAGCTTTTGGGGGGAGGGGGACAAGAAACATACCTTTTAAATGTTGTTGAGGAAGTAAATAAAAAATTGTACAAGTAAAACAACACATATCGGTGAGCTAGAAGTATTAACTAAGGGACATAGGCCTGAAGGGCTACTGTTTTTTGACCTTTGTCTTAGGACTTTACTAGGCTGAAGCAGGAGGAGTTAAAAATAAAATGAGAAAATATAAAATATCTATAGTCTCAAAATGGCCCCAGGCAATGGAGAAGAAAGGCAAAAAGTATAATTCATTACAATAAAAATATGCACCAGATATAGGTGCAATTCAGAAGAGGGTGGCATGAATTTCAAGCAAGAACAGAACAAGTTAGCTAGAGGGGGTGATTTCATATCTAGGTTTTAAAGGATGATAAGATATGATGAGGACTTGAAATACCGAGTGGAAGTAAGAGGGGACAAAAAAGCATACTCAAGAGAAACTTTTGCACAAATGTACCAGGATGTAAACCCATTCACAAGGAAGTGGATGGGATATTGTACACCATTTATAGGGGAAAACTATAAATTCATGTGGCAATGTGGATGTATTTTAGAAACAAAATACTGTATGGAGTGAAAGAAACAAGCCCCAGAATGCTGGAAAAAGAAATTTTTTTGTGAAATTTGAAAACTGTCAAAACTAAACAACGGTTCTGGGGATGTAGCTCAGCGGTACAGCACTTGCCTGGCAAGCATGAGGCCATGAGTTCGATTCTCGGTGAAAAAAAAAAATCCCCAAACTAAACAACGCTATGTAGGCATATATGACAAGAAAATATGCTAAAAGAACAAGGAAATAATAAATATACACTAAGATTAGGGGGAAGTTGAGGGAAAAGGTGATAAGGAGTATTAAATTATCAATAATACCACGGTTCTTCAACTGGATACCAGATTCATGGGAGTTTATTGTAGCTTACGATGGGTGGATGGTAGATAGCAGTCACTTAAAGAACCATGAAGACGACATGTAGTCACTAAAGATTTTGTTTATGTCTGTTCTCTGTACTAAGGAGCTGGACAAGATATATTTTAGGCATAGTTTGGAGGTGGAATCAATAGATTTCCAGAATTTTTTTTTCTTAAATTATGTTAGAGCAGCTCTGCCAAGGGAAGAGGCCTCACTGTTAGAGGCACAAATACTCTTTCATCCCTTGCTTTTTTCCTTTGCCCTTGGCCATCATCACTTACCCTTAAGGGAGAGGGTGACTCTAAGCCTTGGAGGAGGGGGGGCATCTTGAGGGTATACATTGTTCCCACTGGTGGACAGAAGGAGCTAGAAAGAGGCTTGGGGGAAGCTATGAAGAGGGGGAGAGGGGCGGGGCTAAAAGGAAGGCGGGGCTAAAAGGAAGGCGGGGCTAAAGAAGCCGAACCAGAGCAAGGAGCCAGTGGAGTTGTACGCACCTCACCCGCGCTGTGCGAAGGCACTGGGTCGCTGGCAGAGGAGTCTTACCCTCAGGAAGCTACCGTCTCTACCGCCTCTTCCTCCTCCTAGGCCGCCTTCAGCGGCAGCAGCCGGCGGTGGCGGAGGCAGGGCTTACACTTGCCTCCTCCGCTACCTCCACCTCCGACTGCCAGCCTGCGTAGCGACGGCGGCGGCGGCCGCGGCTCCGGCTCCGCTATGTCGGCGGCGGGGAGGGGGGGCAGTAGTTTTAAAGTAGACACTCGCCCTTGCCTCAGAGAAGGTGAGTTCCCGTCTCGGGGTGCGGGAGCGGCTCCATCAACTTCGCTGCCTCTTGTCAGCCCGTCCGAGATCGGGCTGGGCGCGGTTCGCCACCGCCCCACCCCCCACCTGCTGTGGCGCAGTAATGGCCAAACTCGTCCTGCCCTGTGGCATTAGTCCGGAGCGTGCTAGATGGACTGTAGCAGTGAGGGGTGCCCTACCTTGCCCCTTGGCAAAAGATGGGGTCCCCCAGGCAAAAGAACTGCAGGTACTCAAGAGGCAAGAGTTTGAAGGGGGGAAAAAACCTCACATAATCTTCGGCCCCGCCAGATTGTTATTTTGCTGTAGAACGCTGAAGTGTGATTTGGGAAGAGTGGAGGCAAAGTAAAAGTGCCCTGGATGCAGAGGGTCAGGGAAAGGGAAGGAGTGTTAAGGAAAGAATGGCACAGAGATCAAGAAGGAAAGGTCAAATAAATGAGGACGAAAATTCGGTTTTGGTGAAATTAAACCTCTGCAGGGTAGAAACTCCCCGTAGGATGTTGGTGGAGAGATGAGGTCAGGATTTGGGGAGGTCAGCCTGCATACTTGAGCTTGCAAGTAGGAGCTGCTGGATTTTAGGATTTAGGGACTGCTGGCCAGTGCTGTACAGGAGAAAGGCAGAGAGTTTGGCAGATTTGAGAAATGACTTTGAAAATTTCTGTTTTGTTTTGTTTTCTGCTTGAGATTGTGTCGTAGTAAAGCAGAGTATACGGGCCCATCTTTAAGGTACTTTGGATTTGAGTAAGTGCTGTTGTACCTACCAACACATTACTCCTAATAAAAAATACTTCTTAAATATATATATATATATATATATATATATATATATATCTTGAGTATCTCAATACAAGAGGCTTTAGTTTACATAAAGTGGTGTATACATGTAAACAGCCTATTAAAGCACACTGTAAGATTTGCCATTGAAATGTATTTTAAAGCAATTTTGGAAATTTTTTAGAAGCTGGAGACAGATTCCTCTACAGAAGATCTCCGTAGACAATTTTGCCATCATAAATTTCGTGATTAATTTCCAGTATTTGCTGACCTTGTCTTGCTAACTTACCTCCAGAGTGAAAAGTTGTGGATACTAAAGTGGCGTGAAATAAAACTTAAGTTCCTTTTTTTTTTTTTGGAAAAAGATAACCCATTAAAATTATCCCATAAAAATTATTTTTACTTTACATTTGCAAATGATATATCCCTGTGTACTATTCTATAATCTTTCACACCTTTTACTTTGGTGGAATGGCAAAAAAGTAAAAACAAATCCCCCCACAATACTTGCAATAAGCACATTACATAAATGCCACTTACTAAATATGGAAGTTACTGATACGCTGCAATATGATGATGTCTTATTTATCGATGATCTTAGTAAAGGCCACCTTTGGAAGACTAGTGTCTTCAATCAACCTAGATTTATACCATTGTTCTAGGATGAAGTTTGTGAATTTTTAACTTCTATACAAACTTTCTGTCCATAACCAGCAAATAAGTGATGTAAATTTTTTGTCCATAACCAGGAGTAGTTAAGAGTAGTTTTATAGACATCAAGATTACCACTCAATTTGACTCTCATGACCTGTTCACGGTAATATAATGTTTAGGACAATTTTTCATAGAAATTTTGACCTGCCTCTCTCTGTAACTGATTTTGTTGTAGTATCTTTGGATATATGCAAATATTAAAGGCCTTAAGAGATACAAGTTCATAAAATAACAATATTTTATCTATATTATTGCCAGGGAATAAAATGAAGAAAACCCTGGCTTAGGATTCTGATGCAGTAAACATAAATTCTGTTGCTAATTAATCCACTAGACCTTGTCACCCTGAACAAGTCCCAAGCTTCCTGGATTTGGGTTTCGATATTTCTGAAGTAGGGAAATTGGGCTAGATAAATGTTGAGGTTAATTTCAAGTCTGAGATTATGAACAAGGATTTGGGAGCTCTGCATTGATAATTCTTTCAGTGGCATTGCCATATCTATGCACTTCAACAGTAATTCATAAATTACAAGAGAACTTGGCCAATAGTTACTACCCGACATTCTCTGAGTAATGAAATCTATGTTGTATCAGAGTGTTGAGACAATTTTCTAGGATATGAAAGCCAAATACAATTGATATCTAAGAATTATCACTTCATTTTAGCTAAATATCCTACATTAACTGTTTGAGTAAATTAAAGCTCTAGGACCAGGGATTTAATTCAGTGGTTCTGCCGCCTGCCTCGAAAGCACAGGGACCCGAGTTTGATCCCTGGTACCAAAAACAAAACAAAACAAACAAAAAATTAAAGCTCTTACCTTTTAACAAATGGTACATATTTGATATGCTACACTGTCCAAAACACTAGTGAGGCTCAGTGTTTTTCTTTAGATATTTATAAAATTCATAAGTGATTACCAGATATAGTGAATAAAGGAGAAAAGAGAAAAATGTCAATTAGTTGTGTGCCGATACCTTTTGCCTATTTATTTTCTCTAAGGCCTACTCAGAATATGGCTCCAAAAGATGTCAAAGAATTGTCAGGTAGGGGCTGGAGATTTACCTCAGTGGTTCTGCCGCCTACCCCGAAAGTGCAAGGACCCGAGTTCGATTCCTGGTACCAAAAAAAAAAAAAAAGAATTGTCAGGTTATCAATTATTACACATCTACTCCTGATGAGATCATTAAAAGTGGTTTGAAAAGGCCTTTGGTGATCCATTTTCAGCTATAGATAACACTCAAGGATTGCATGGGATTGGCAATGAGAAAATGTCAGTGGAGATTAGAAATTGTCAAGTATAGAATATTAGAAACTCAGAAATTATTAATGAGATATTGAGCAGTAGACTTAAAAATGGCAAGTGAACAGGCATATGAAAAGACACATGTACACTCAAAATTCATGGTAAGGGGAATCATAAAATGCAGAACAATTCATATTTCCTTATTTCTCAAAAAACATTCATGGCTCACAAATGAATTTTCACCCAGTAATAATGTTACCATGTGCTAATAGTAAAAACCAAAACAAGAATAACAAAAACCTCCCTTGCTTATTTATTTCTTCCTTTTCAGAAAAATAAATTATGATATAGTTCCTGTCTTAGATTGGAAGACGTTCTGGCTTTTTATTTATGATTAACCTATTTGCACTGAAATTATCTAACAGGATTTTCCTTTTTACTTCATATTATTCAGTAGTTTCAAGTTATATGTTAGTAATCCCACGATATGAAAACCAGTTAATACTACCCTTTCCTTCATTTATTCAGGGTCATTTATTGAACACTTGTATATATGTGCGCCAGGCATTTCTTAGTGCTAAGGCTATACAGACAAATAGACACAGCTATATGAAAGAGCTCAATCATTGTGTTTTGTAGTAAAATTATTAAATAAATAAAGAAACAGGGAAAATGTATTTTTAAATATGGCTAGTTAGGCTCCTGAACTATCAAGACTGTTCCTTTATTATTATAAATCTGCCATCTGATGATGTTGTCTTACACATGATAAGCACACTGCGACACATTATGCTATAAATCTAATGTTGGTGTCTGCAAAGAGTAATCAGTAAACTGTTAGAATTATTTTCTCTGCTTTTTTAAACTTTTACTAGTACATGTTTTCAGTACATAATGATTACGTTCACTGTAGGGGATTGGTACGTGTACATAACACATTCCAATTCCCTTCTCCCACACCGCATCCCCTTTTATTTTTCCAGCATCAGATTCATTTATTTATTTTATAAGACCTTGTAAAATTAATTATCATATACATGTTGAAAACCAGACTAATAGTCTAAAGAACTATTAGCATTAACTCACTGAATTTGGCAGGTTGAGGATGTGTGGAAAGAGATTAGTGACCATTTGTTATTTCCTAGCTCTCTTATCTGTATTAGATATCGATACATGAAAATATTCAGTTTGTTACAAAGACTAACTGAGGCAAGGCTCCTATTTTATGCCTTACATATCTCTTAGGATAGAATTTTAATTTTTCTCCATCTGAAACCAGTCTTACCTATTCATTCACATTTATAAACCTGATGAAATGAATGACATATATTTAGTGGCTTTCTCATGCAAAGTAGCTGTCAGGAGATCAAGTAAGGTAATGGATTATACAGAACTTTAATTCAGTTTCTGACTTTGCAAACCTGATGCCTGAACTCAGCAGCCACAGAGGCTTGTAATTATGGTGGTCAATCATTTGTTTTAAATAAAAACAACACAAATATACATATAACTAAATTGTCAATTATTGTATTTATTTTCTCTTTTGTAATTGTTCACGTGCCATGAGAAACACTTCATTTCTGTTTGATTATAATTATCTGTGTGAAACAGCTAACATTTGCCAAACTCATAAATCAGATACTAATCTAATAACTTGAAAAACTAAGGATGTAACATAGCGTTATAGCTATGAATGTTAACCATTCTGACAGGTAGTTCTTAATTTCTAGCACAATTAATGTTTCTGAAAAACTCCTTAAATGGAGTGTGGCCTTTAAGGAGAAAGGAGTTTAAAATGCCTCAGCAAGTTTAACACAGTTCCTCATTCTTCTTTATCTTAATATTGTGCTCTGCTCATTCTTTCCTAAGATTATGGTAGTATTAAAAAATTGCGAAAGTCAGAACAGCTCTTACAAACATTCTGTTTAATCAAGAATGTTTGAGGGAGGATATCTCTAAAGATGTAATCATAGAAAATATAGCACACATGCTCTTTGCACAATTAAAATGCTAATTTCTCAGTTTTGTCTGTGGCTAAGAATGAGATTTGTGGTTCTAATATTGCAGTCAATTCCTTTGAGATTTTCTCCTTTTTGTCAAAAAATAGTATATAGGAGGAATTTATTTACCATTCTAGATTTTTTTTTGTGACAGAGTCTCACTTTGTAGTGCATCCTGGCTTTGAACTCACTGTGTAGCCCAGGCTGACCTCAAACTCGTGGCAATCCTCCTGCCTCTGCTACCCAGC